TGAAATCTGAAAGACTATTCAAATACTTTTCCCCTTGTTTCAAGAAGAGATTTTAAAAGAAAAATTCAGAACTCAAAAGATGCAAGACCAAGAAAAGCCAAGATAAATAAAAACCATATACTAAAAACAGCAGAATGATCTGGACAACTTCTAGTTGTTTACTGAGCAAGATCTAGAAATCACATTGAAAGCCACTTTACTGCTGCTTACAGCCAAGTATTTCTGAGAGACAGGTTATTCAATAATAATGTAAATAAGATGAATGTGACTGAATAGCTGAATTAGGAGAAAATAAAGGGAATAAACTGTCAGCATCAATTAGTTCTAGAAGTTCTGGTTTAAAAGTGTGTTGGGCCCTCTCAGTAACAGAAGATGGTCTCAAATGGATAATGTATTATATGGAAAGAAAAGATAAAATGTCACACTGATCAAAAATAAAGACCTATTGTAAAACATGTAGTTCTTAAGTCTAGATGTCCAAGGTTATGCAACTGTGCTAACCATTTATGTCAAACTTGTTTTGTCAGTCTATTCCTAGTAACTGTCACTTCCATACAAAATTTTACAGTAACATGAAGAGCTAGAAATCATTCAGTTTCACTATATATTTTTTTAATTAGCAGACAGAGAGAGGAGAGACACTAATAGTATGTCTACTAAGACAGAAGACATCATCCATCTTGTCTGGCTAGGTGGCTGCTGCCAGTCAGCACTAATTCACTGACTTGACAGTGCTCAAATAAGCAACTGTCAGAGGGGTGCTGGGGCCAAGGGCAAAAGTTTAGATGTCACTATTAGAAAGCAGACCCCTGGTGGCCTAGTGGTTAGCGTGCAGGACTTTCACTGCTGCGACCACGGGTTCGATTCCCCGGTCTCCTGGCCTGATGGAGGTCGTTAGCCCTGTGTGGCCATCCATCTATGAGAAGGACACTCTAAACAAACCTACGTCCTGAGGACCTCACTGCCATTGTCCAAGCTTCCTTGGCCCCGGCAGATGAACCTTAGGATTAAAGGGTGGGCTCAGTTCAGCGCAGGCTGTGTCTCACCTAAAAAATCCATTGCGCAGGCTGGAAAGGTAAAAGACCTTTCCCCAAAATCTTCGTTCGCGAAGATGGGCCATTATTATTATTACTATTAGAAAGCACAGGGTGGGGATGAAGAAGCCTCAGAACATGGGGAAACCTGAGATACCGTGCAATAATGGTATCAAAGAATAGGAAAGGAACTATGTTTACTACATGTGATGGAAGTGTGGGGATACAGGACAAATTGTTTTGTATTACAATAAAAAGTAGAATAAGAAAGAAAAATTATGAAGCAATGCAAGGTAGAAGTGATTGCTTTGTCATTACATTCTTTTTTGTAAACTTGAACTGTTCAATCTTGTCTCAGATTCATGTCTTAAGTACTTAAAATTGGTTAAAGAACAGTTAGTGCCTTAGGAGAACTCCACCCCAGAGTTCAAATTCATCCTTCCTCCTCTTTCCCTAAAGGAATGTAACTGTGGTAGGCTTTTAAACATGGTTACAGGGTTAAACATAACTACACACAGCTAGTATTGCTTATATTCACTAGGATAAAATCCATGTGGGCTGACATAAGAAATTGAAGCATCTCATTTTTATGACATTTATTAATTCCACCTTGTACCTGGAAATCTAAGTAATGTTTGCCAAGAGTAAATGCATGAAAATTACGATTTCAGGGCAAGAACCTGTAGCTACTGCCAAACTATGATTTCTTTTCTAATATGACAGAAAACACATTGTAGACATAAAAGACCATTAAACTACACTTTAAACCAATAACATGTCTCTAGTAGGGGAGTATTATACAAAGTACATGCTGTTTACAACAGCTACCATAAATTTGCTGCAATCTCATTCCATATTTGAAGTCCTTTAAACTACAAAACATATATGCAATCTCAACTACCGTTCGATTGCTTTTAAATTTATCTAATTAAAATCCTTTCTTAGAACAAGTGGTAGTAGCATGTCCAACTGCACTGCTAAATTTTTTAATCAGAGATCAAGAATTTGCATATATTGCAAATTGATTTTTCCATTTTTTTTCATAGCACCTTCCTACAAATCATTCTTAAAGATCATAAGAATAACATTTCCTTTTTCTAACATACAAGACTAAGTATATAACAGCTTTTCTTTTCCTTCCAGAATGGAACACCTGATGTCACTATTTGTTAACTGTTGTTACTACTCACTCCAATCCATTTAGATCTATAATATTACTTAAGAAAGACAAATTCTAAAAGAAAATATTAAACAGGGCAATAAAACCGAAAGCAAGCTTTTTGTCATTGCACAAACCAATGCCTGCTTATACATTTCTTCATTATTTTCAAGTTGAAAAGTAAAGCTAAAGTTTCCTTACAATAAACCCATCAGTAATTTTATTGTAGCACTAAATACAGCCTGCCTTGTTGCTAGTGTACAAGGATTAATGCAAAAAACTAGTTCATAAATAGAAATGCTTTTTACTGGAGAATCAAATGCAGCCTGATTAATATTTTCTTGTTTAGCAACTATAACTTTGACATGCATTGTACGTCTACCTACATATCATACAAACACAACTGTTATTTGAAGTTGAAAATCTGAAAATTAACATTTACCATCTACTTTAGTTGTAAAATTCAAATCAGTTCAGCAATTTGTAACAATTTACAGGGGGGCAGAGAAACCATACAGAATAAATTTACAGTAGGTATTTATCACACCTCGGCAATGAAATTACATCAGTTGTATATTCATTATTTGATTTGTATTTAAAAGGTTGTTCACACAAAGGTCATACATCTGCTCCATAACTGTTCTGATAAAAGGAAATACAGGAAGCAATAAGAGGCACCTTTATATATCCTAGGCTATAACAGTTATTCTATGAAGAATGTAATTGATATAGTGCTCAAGTCCTGGAGATTCTGTGTTAAAAAGGCTAATAAAATCACATATTCAAATTAACTGGAAACTCCTTTCTGTTCTAGATGAAAAAGTTTGGAATGTACTATAAAACCAAAACATACACATTTCCCTTCTGCCTACAAAACCCAATGTAAAAAGCAACAAAACCTTGCTTTGTACGTTACAATTACTTTAGCTTAAAATGAGGGGATAAAACAAGGCAAATTTTCTCATTATAAAAATATTTTATATAAGGGAGGAGATGAGATTCTCAGACAATTATATGAGAATAAAAATTGTATTTACTTCAATGTCAAAAAGCCTACATGCTTAAAAGAATTTTTGGAGTGAGACTTCATACTGTTCATATTTAACCAGCCTCATTATTCCTCTTCAGAAAACTCATTTGCCATATTTTGAATACCTCAACTATTTGTATTAGACATAGTTGTTCAAATAAAGACAGAATTTGATACTGAATTAAAGAAAACAAGGTCTTTTCTAATACAGAAAATGCATCATTGAGCTATTTTATTTCACTCCCACAGCAGAGTCAATATTAAATCCTACCACAGCTCTCACTTTTGAAACAACATATGCAGCAGTGGAGTCTCTATGGCAATGACCATTTTACTACACTTTTTTTGTACTAACAATAACAACATTTCTTTATTGGAAGAGAATTCCCATGAACAAAAGAAATTACAAAGAAAATCTACCAAGAAAAATGTGAGCTTGCTTAAAATAAAGTTTTAACAATTGTGAAAAAATTTAAGCATTTGTTCTCTGAAAACAAATCTTTTTCCTCATTCTCCTTCCAACTGCACTAATTCCAATTCAAAAAGCTCACAACAGTAATGTTAAGAAAAGCACCCATCTAATGCTGGTTTGAAGGATCTTACAAAATAAACTTCTGCAATATGTATCTATTTCAACAACCTGATTTTTGTCATATTCTCAGAATTCATCTTTCAAATCAACTGCATAAGAAAATTTTCAAGCACATCCCAGTTGCTTTTAAGTTTAGAAGCAAAAGTTCTACACAGCAAAAGCAAACTCAAGAGACTTACATTAATCTTTTGGGCTTATTTAGTCATGCCATTTCAAAGTGTTAAATAATAACCCATCTATCATAACAATAGCTAATATTTCTTAAAGCAACCAGAAAATCCCCACTTTCAAATTTAAATCATCTTACGTTAACTCATTCACAGTAAAGACTGAAATAAGGGCAAATCTGACTCGTGTATAAGCATACATGGAAAGGCAGTTTTCTCCAATTTAAAGAAATGTTTTCTTAGATGAAACAGTAAGGGCAAATACTTTTCCTTAATAGCTTTGGGTTTTTCTTGTTGTGATATACAACACTGCATAAAGGTAAGTCTTTTTTTCAGCAAGGAATCTAATTGTAACTCAGCTTCTCAAACAAAGCATGTTAGAAAGTAAAATCAGATCCTCCAACAGAAAAGCAAAAAACACATAAAATAATTTCTTAACAGAGGGAACGCATAATGAAAAAGTGTTATTCTAAAGCAATGCAGAGCTGAGGCAGCAAAAGGAAGAAAAATTGGTTTATTCTTTGTCCAGTACAAGGATGGTTCAGGAATGATTTGTTTTTTTAAACACTGTTCTTCTGCAGCTATCACATTCTGAAATGATTAGAACATAAAACCCCCATAGGAAGGACATGGTCAGTCTCAGACAATTTTGTTGTGAATGTTACACCAGCCAAACCATTCCGCCAGTTTACAGTGTACCATAAAATATTTACACAAGCTATGAACTATAAAATATTTTCACATGAACTGTAAAATATTTACACTATCAACATCAGTTAGGAAAGAATGATGTGCTGTCAAGCTGGTGTGACCCAGGAGTAAAGATTTTGTGGTCGCAGATTAAATAAAACTATTGCAAATCATCTGGAAAGTTACAGGGACTATTAGGTTAAACAAATTACTGCTTCCTGGTCTCTTGGATGGTAAATGTAACCAGGAAAGTACAGCTTATATGCTTTTAGCTAGGTTTTACCAACAAGATAAAGAAGGGTTAGGCTCATAATGAAACTGTACTGACCTCTCTGAATGTTCCTTCTAGCAAGGTGTCCAGATGTTGAAGAGGAGCAGGAGTTTTATCTTTGAATCGTGTCAGCAGTCGTCGCTCAATAGCTCGAAACTGTACGGCCCTTTCAGATAACAGTTCCTGAAATTTTTCAGCATTCAAACGTAGCTGCAATTTAAGGGTTTTCAAGAATTCAGATTAAGGGTCATATATATTGTATGGACATTGCAAATGAAACGGGAGAAGTTTAGTAAAATTTTTGCGACAGAGTGTATTATACAAATATGATGTCATTTATACCAGTTTCATATTTTACACTCCTCGTAAAGCTTATTAACATTTTCAAGAATTATCATTTCCTACTGAATTCAACACTAATTGTCAACATCCAGAATAAAATGTGAAAATGCACAAATATCTCATCAAGAAGCCTATTAACAAGACTAAACTTTCACCACCAAGACCTGAAGGTTTTTTCTTGGTTTGGTGTGCTATTTATGACACATATACACAGTGTATTGGACTTGATATTCATTGTAGTAGAAAGTAAATGGTTATTCCCTTAAGCATGAATAGAAGCACTGGATTCTGTACTGTTCAAATGATTGTCTTTTTCTGAAGTGAAATCCTTTTTTCCTTTTTATGCATACTGATCAGCTATAGCAACAGACTTCCTCGAAGTGTTCACAAAACTTTGAACATTGTATATCAAACGCTCAGATAATAAAAAGTCTTATTTTATCTATTAATCCTCACTTACCAGTACATGCCTTCAACATACAACTGACTAAGGATGAGTCTTTCAGAAAACTGAGATACCTCTGTACAGCTGACATGCCATAACTAGCAGAAGAAACATCAAGACACTCAGCTTTCCACGTGAGCAAAAATGCCCCAAAATGAGCAGAAATTCTCTAAATTTAGAAATCGGATTATATTTAAATATAAGGAAACGTCTTTATGTCAGTACATGATTATGAACAACAGTTCAGGAAAGCAAAGAGAAAAAGAAACATTATTACCTGAGATGCCCCTTTTTTACTACTACTTCTGGAAAAGCTGCGTATTCTCTCAAGTTTGTCAAAAAAGAGTGTGTTGAAACTAAGAGGGATGGGAGCATAAGTACCCACTTTATAGACTATTTAATTCTTTTGGGACCAGATAATTATTGGAAAATTTCAGAAATTTCAAAATAGCCAGCTGCTACCTAACTAAATCCTAAATTATCATTACAGCAATAACACCTATGTTTCAGACTTCAACATATTTAGGCTTCATTAGATTGTACCACAAGCTTATGCTTTCAGTATTTCTACCAGTCACTTAAAAAAACACAAACATTTTGACTTTCAAATTAGTTGAATAACTAGCCATGAGCTAGGATCTAGGTTGACCCCTTAAAAAAAATCCCAGAAAATTCCAACTACAACTTCCATCTTTCTGTATGGTGATGGCTCAAACTCACAGAAAATGTGGCAGCATGAACAAACATCCAATAGTATTTCTCATTCTTACCTACATATGTTGCTTTTACCAAATACACAAGTTTAATAGAAATTTTAAAATAGCTATTCCTTTTCTTTACTGGAAAGGTGTGGGGGGAAAGAATGGATATATTTTATTCTATTAGCTATTTCTACAAGCTATCTGAACTACTGGAGATTTTTCATTGTCATCTGCATAGTCAAACAGGAAAAAGTAATTATATTTCTTTTATATCTGGTTTGGTAAACTTTCTTGAGCCTTCAGTGCTTGATCTGCAAGGGCAGTTTTTTTAGATGCTGAAGGGACTTTCCATATAATTACCAGGATGACTCAGGGGGAAAAAAAGTGGTCATGGTTTCCTTATTACAGAAGAGCAAAACAGCCTAAAACTAAGGGCAAATTTTGAAAGAATTTTACAATTAACATGATGTTAGTGAATGAAGAATCCATGGCTTCTGTACAGGCAGTCAACAGAAGGGCAAATACTGGTTCCTTAATTTGTATCATTTGCAGACTGCACACTGGCTACATGTGCTCTACTAATTGCAAGGGCTGTTTCAGAGGCATACTCCGTACTTTAAAAACCAAATTATGACATTTTTTTCCAGAACTATCTTAGATACAACTTTCTATTTTCTGAAAGCCAAATGCCTGTGATAGCTATAGTTATAATCTGATTATCCATTGTACTAACACACAATTTTAAACTAGCGGAACATTAAGGATTCACATATCATGTAGCATACCTCAAAATGTCGATCAATTAGTTCAAAATATTCTTGCAGAGGAATTGAACCAGAAAAGGTACATGCAAAATCTTTGCAGTTTTGCTTCTTGAAATGTTCCTCTAGTCGGCGTGTGAGCTCTTTCGTTATCAGCCAAAGGTCTTCCAACTGGTCGCTCTGGATCCTATATCGTTCTTTGAGCACGACAGATACAAGACTAATAAACACACATTTAAGCCACATACATTCACTACACAACATAGTTTAGATAACACACAAGTTGAACATGCTAATTGTATCCTAAGTCTACATGAGATTTTCTTAAGAGATACGTGTTCACTTGTGTTAAAGAAACACTTGTATTTTATTGATGTTGGTCCTAAATACTATCCCTTTTGTCCTAATTTTAACATGCAATTGTGTGGCACAAGACTCTTACTTAAGAGCATGGACCTATTCATGAAGAAAAAAAAGCTATGAAGAACTACCACAATAAGGAAACAGGAGAGTTATATGAAATCGTATATGAATATATATGAATATATGAAATCGCAAATATATGAAATCATAAAACAGGCTGTCTGCAATTCTCTGCCATAACAACTTTAGTGAGCTTTTCTCAGGGCTGGAGACAGAATCAGGCTCAATTCACTTTGAACTGTGACTGAGGCACAGTACCTTAAGCATCTGATGCTAACAAAACAGATGGTAACCTCTGGTGGTAACAAACCACCTTTAATGTCTTTTGGAAACGGTTATTGAGTTCTTCAAATAATACACTCAATATCATTTTTATTACATCTCCACTTCCTAGGAAAACTTTTAGTAGGAAAAGTATTAGTCTAACTACTTATAGGCAACAATATTCAGCTTTGATAGTGCTATGCTTCACTCTAGACACAGCTAATATTCTTATCCATCTTCACACTATGGCTTTGTAAAAATGGCTTAGTGTAGGAATGAAAGTGTTAATATAAACCAAAGTAAGAAATCAAATCCTGTTAGCCAGTGTTATCTGTCCCAGCAAATTGATTTAACTTGTCAGATTTTAGTGAATTTCAAAGTATCAGGCTAGTGGAGTGAGATTTTATTTCTAGTCCACTTTTGTATAATCCCCTCTTCGGGTCCCAGGAAATCAGAATTAACTAAATGTTGAGAGGAAAATCATAGAGGCCTTTTAATTATTTTTCTTATTTTTTTCAAACCAAACACAATAACCAACAGTTCCTTATTTGTTTTCATTACATATCTACCAATAACTTATAAAAGAGGATAGACAGAAATGCAGCCACGACAATTTGATACAAAATAATTCTCTTTTTTGCCCATATTAACAAGGTCCACAGTAAATCAAATTAACCAGAATTCTTTAGCACTCGAATGCACTTATTTAAAATTTTCTCAACATTAGTAATTCAAGATCGTTTGACATTAGCACTGGCATCATTCCCAGGATACGTATTTCACTGAATACAGAATGAAAAATTTTGTTTACAGTGTAACAGGAAAGAAGCAAGTTTTATTTAAAAACATGCTTGTTAAAGAAAAGAACACCATCTGCTAAAGATAACATTCAACCTAATATCCATTTTTTAAACACTCACAGTGTAATGGCTGGACCTACTTGGATGTATCATCATACTTTGCCCTAAGTGATTCTTCCTTGAGGGAAATTAGCTCAGATGTTTTCAGGCCAAATCAACAGTCATTCCATTTATAACTGACAATCTAATACATTAATGGTTTTAAATGGACAAAACTAATTTCCGCCAAAATGCATATTTTGTTTCCATACATTGTTTGTTGGTCAATACAAATACAATCTAATTTTACCATGGCCTGAGTAGAGAATACTGCAATTATTTGTTTTACATGATCTTCCAGCTTTCAAAAAAGACAAATTAGATTTAGAAACAGTAAAAAAATGAGAATCTGTAGTTTTACTAAACACATTTTAAACAGAAATACAGTGGAAAAAAAAAGAAATAACTGTGCTTCTGTTCATCCCATGCTTTTATGATGGTTAACCAACTCAAATTAGCTTTTTGTTAAATAAGTTCCATTCCAGAAAGTTACAAAAGATTGTCAGAAAATTATCAATCAGAAAAGCAGGAGACTGAGGAGCACAAATAGGTTACATAGGTTACAAAGTGTTCTAACACTACAACAGGTTGTCCAATGAGCAAAACCTAAATTAAAAATGGCTGCTCTGCCAGTAGGTTATCTGAAGGAAGTCTAGAAGGTTCAGTTCACTTCTCAGTTAGGAAGCCCATACCAGCAGAAAAAAAACCATCCACAGTTAGTAGTCAAGTCTTCTTTACACTTTGACTAAAAGACAGTTTTAAAAAATTTCCCTCAAATAAAACATTAAAATCTAAGTAGCTGAGACAAGCTACTTTTTGATATGTATTTTCTGTCAAGATGTACTTCAGTTTGGGCTTCTTTGCAGCAGTCTTGACAGGCTGAAGTAACATATTCAATTACTACACTGTTCAAAATGGATTAGCTAATACAATTAAAAACAAACATGAAAAAAGACGTCGTTCCTGCCTACAGCTTCAGCAATGAAACCCAACTGAACCTGGAGAGCTTCATTTCTACATGCAGCTTTTCCTATCCAGAACTTAAGGTCCACTTAATATGGGATATGGAAAAAGAGGTCTTCTTCCTCTGGCCAAGATAAACTTCTTTCATGGAAAACCAGAAATAAGGCCTGATCTTTTTTTTTACTTTTCTGAAACACCATTACTTCTAGTCAATATTTATCTACACACATCATTTTCTTTTTGAAGAACATTTCCACAGTGATAATGTTGCATAACCAGTTTTACAAAGTATAAGATCAGTGTTAATTTACATAGCAGAATAAGGACCTAACAAATAATACATAATTTCATCTACATTCCACAGCAGATCTGTTCACTCAAGTACAATCATTTTAGTATCATGACATTCTACCAACAATGCTTTTGTATTATGGATAGTCTCTGTTTGTGAAAATATTCTGAATTATGCTTGAGTATCAGACTTCTTACAAATATTTTTTTTAATCAGTTTTACTTAGGTAACATTTCAAGTAAGCAAATGCTCTCTAAGAACTTCTCTAACCAATGCAATCCAACACATAATATGGATGCTGAGATCAGACTGCTAACATAGAAGGTGGCATCATACTACTCATTTGTTTTCTGAAGTTAGGATTCCCAGACGCAATAAATGAGTAGTCACAGTAGGAGAAACAGATATTTTGAATCTCCTCTGTAAAGGAGGAGTAAAGCAGTGTGGGAAAGTTTATTTTAAGACTGCAAACACTATCCCTAGCTAGTGAATAAACAAACCTGAGAGGAAAAGATTGAGAATTGGGATGGGCGGGTGTGAGATTAAAAGTTATAGCCTCACTAGAAACTAAAATACATTATATAGACATAAACTTTTCCTTACACAGCATCAGAATGCAAAATGAAATCCAAATCAAAAATTTAAACTATAATCCAGAAAAAGTTATTTATAAATCCTTTACATTTTTTAGTTTTTAGAAACTATCAGGTCTGGAAACTTGCATGTCTAGTTAGTTGAAACTGTTTAAGATCTACTATTTAAAGAAATATTAAAAACAAACTAACAATAAACCAGCATGTAAATTATGCATACAAAAACAATACAAATGAATTTGAACCTTAGAAATGTAAAGCAATTCTTGGTACAATGAAAGTTACTCTGCAGATGGTTTCTGTTCTTAACACATTTGATTACATCAGAAAAGGTATTATCTCATAGTTCACAGCTGACACCACCGATATTTATATATCCCATCATAGAAAATGGATTTTTGAAAACAGTAAGGCAGATCATCTTTGTGTCAAAAGAATTTCACATCAACAAACTAGATTGTGATTTTTCACTCAAAACAGTTTTCATAAAGCATTCACACAGTGTTCCAACTGAACTCTCTGCAATGCACAATAGGTGTTCTAGCTTTTCAATTTGTAGTCTGCTGTATTAAATGAAGACTTTGTGCTCTGCTGGCATGGAAAACGCTAAACACAATTGAACTGATTTGGTTCCAATGCACATGCCAAGAAAGAGTTCAGCAAGTTGAGCAGTTGTACAGAGCAAGACACCATAAACTCTCCAAAATGCAGAGCACCGATCTTTTTCAAAGAGCACAAACTCAGAGGTGGCTGAAACGTGACTACTTAATTCACAAACTATTCTATACAAGAGACACTGGACCAGATAACAGCAGAACTGCATGCGTGTTCTGTAAACATAATAGGAAGGATCTTGAATCCATAATCCTATACTTACAAAGGTATACAGGCATCTAAAGATAACAGAGAGGCATTTACTCAGATGTAGAAAAGCAAGGAGGGTTTGATGCCTAATTCAAGTCACAAATTACTGAAAGTCAGTGAAAAGTTAGACACCTGCTTTTTAATCCCTTTCAAAAATTTCAGTAGGCGACTAATTACAAACACAGGTGTTGAAATTCCTTTGGGAAAAGAGGTTTTTCCTTATTATAATAACAGTATTAATAAAAACATTGCTAAAAATTTGAAGAAAATCCATTTTCTTCAGAAAACTGCCACTATATTTTGAGTGTGACTTTTTGTTTTGTCATAAAATTTTGTACCTCCCCTAGTAACATAATTATATACCTGAGAGAGAGATAAGAAATGGTTGGTTAACACTGTGAAACTCCTGTGATAATTCATACACAGCGATTATCCTTCTTCATATGATCAACATTCTCACTTTGTACATATATTAACAGATGATCAGGCCTCTTTTACATTAATACTAATTGCACTTACGTGATGTTTTTGAAGCAAGAAGAGTGGTTTTTGAATCAGTTAAAAATAGAAATCCCAGAGCATTTGCCTGGTCACCCTCAGATGGATCAACAAAGTCTAAAAAAGAAAGTTAAATACAGTTTTCTATAATTTGACACTGGTTTTCAACAAACCTCAATCCATAGCCAGGACTATGTCAACCTTCACACAAGCAAATGAATGGGATTGTTTCCCTTCTTAGGGTTCAAAAGTAATGAATATCAGCAGAAGTTTGGTATATCCCCCCTTCATTCACAGGTGGAAACTGAGCTACACACTGGTTGTTCTTTCCCAGCCTGAAAACAAAAAGGTAGGTTTCTCAGAGGTTCAGTCTGTACCATCTAAAAAAAATTGTGATTAGTGAAGAGCCCAAAGACTACCACCTTCTACCATACGCAAGATCATCTTTAATTCAGATATTTATGCAAAAAATATGCAGAAATTATCATGAAAATATTTCAGTACACTCTCTCTTCAGCTTTCAGCACAGAGCAAAACAAGCATCTACGTTGCTAAAACTAGCTACTCTGCAAAGTTCATGCAAGTCCACCTTTCTTTTCATTCCATGTAGTGCATAATAAGAGTTTAAATGGCTTCATTTTAGAATACCATACTTCAAAAACCACTCGATGTCACATCTACTCCCAAACTTCTCCTAAAATAAGGCAAAACAAGGAGAAGAGATACAACTTTTACTGCATACACCCATAATTCAAAGTTCATTCACAGATCATGTCATAATCAGCATACTTTTTTTAACACTGTAAATGGAATGAACAGAAATCAGAATATTTTAATGTCTTCTTAGTCCAATGGTTTGTGTTGTATTTTCCACAATGCATCCCTAGGTTAAAAATAAAATACAATGTGCTATTCTAAAAGCATTATTGCTTAGCCATAATGGAAGTCCATTATGAAAACCTCAAAATGTAGACATTTGGAAAAAAGGTTCTCTGTTTTAAGTATTACACAACACACCCATTTGAGAGAAAAGTTATATTTACCCTTAAAGTGAACAGAATCATGGTACAAAAAAAGCCAACCAAGCCTTCTCCACTGCTCTCAGACAAATGCACAATATAAGTTTTTCAAAAAGAGAGAAGCAGCCCCACCTTAAAAGTATTGTATTAAAGTTGTTGGCCCACACAGCTCTCAGAAAACTGCTCCAGAACCTTAGTCCTCTGAAGTTCAGGAACTTAATCACTGCCAGACTGAACTTACTCTCAATCACTTTATAAGTCCTGTTTATTCATTTCTTTTTGTGCTAATATGATCATCTAGATCCATGATGCAGCCACAAAATATTTACTGAAGTCAACAATATTCTCTTCTTTTGCCTGCGTTTTATTAAGATAAATGAGTCACTTTCTTTAACTCTCCTCTTCAAATCCCTAGATAACATTCATAGCCTTTTTTCTACACTTCTGAGTTTGAACTAATTTTTATTTAATATCAGCAACCAGCACTCAGTGTGCCAGGGCCTAGTAGCATAATATTAGTTTCCTGCATGGAACCATTTTGTCTAATACATCCTCAGTTCTTATTTGTTTGCTTATGATTACACCATATTATACCACAGAGTATTCCTGTGGTAACATCCACCTCCTCTCTCTTCCAAATTATGAGTACATAATTATAGTACAAATTATTTTCATAACATTACAGTACTCAATTTCATTCTTCTTTTTCCAGTCCCAAATGGCACCTAATTTCTCCTTCAAACTGTTTTAATGTAATTCTGAATACAAAACATAGCTCAGGTTTGCACATCAGAAAATATCGCTAAGTACAAATCTTCTTCTTGGTCCAAGAAGGGTAATGGAATTATTAAATAAGATCAGCTTCAGACCGATACATCAAAAATTCCACAAGTCTTCCTCTAAAGCAACTATACTCCTTCCATACAACATTGACCACTTCTGCTTTACCCTACCCTTTTTTTTTCAAATGAATGCCCATGTTTTCCCTATTACAACACCACTTGTGCAATTTTATGTAAAATTACTTTCTGCATGCATAAAAATTAGATCTATATCATGAAATCTGCAGTTTAACCATAGACAGATATATTACCCCAAGTGAATTATTATTATTATTAAAACATTATGCCATCATTTCTTTCAAAATATACTTTTAAAATATGCCAACATGAGCTTTTTTAATTACTTTATTATTTCACACAGACAAACAATTCCTCTTGGGAAGCCTCTAACACGTTTCCTATTACAGACATACTTAAAAATCTACCTGGAAAAATGGTGAGAAAAGTGACTGGAGGTTTGTTGGTATCAATAGTTAGCTTGTGGTTTGCTGCTTTTGAAGGTTGACATGGAAAGCAAATTAACCGCAAAGGCAGACTGAAGTTACACTGTGCAACTCTCGGTATTCCTGAAATCAGAGAACACAGATTCATTTCTCATGCCCATATTCTGAATACAAGATACTTCATACCACTGTCCTCAAAGAGGTATAACAAGATACTTTTAATATGATTAAGGAATATGTTAAACCAAAAACTATATCAAATTCTTATTTTTTGTTAACTTTTCCTCCTAAAGCACCTTTAAATTTGAATATTTTTAATTAGCTTTTCAAGTGAACATTTTTCCATAAATGGGAAAGCAAGAGTTACTGATGAAATCTACTGCATACTTGTATTTATACCAATTAAAATGCAATAAAGATTAGATTTTATTTAACACTCTAGACAAACAATTGCATTTTAACATACACAACGGTTGTGTGATTATTCCTGATGCTTCAAACACAGAATTGAAGCATGAACATTTTTATCAGGAATATCCAAAACTAAATGCTTTTTAAGAACAGATTTACTCCCTTTTTTAATACTCTTAAAAAACATCTATGCAACCTTCATATCATCTCTCAGAGGTTTATGGCTTAGAAAAGAATGTATCTAATAGAGTATATTACCCAAAAGCATATTAAATTATATCTTTCAATTCATTGCATCATAATAGAACAGAACTGTAGAACAAACTGGCTACTGCCTTGAGTATTGGGATCTATTGTCATATGCAATTTATTCAGAATGGTGCAAGAGAAAAGAGGAAGTTTTAACACTAACAGCTAGAAAAGACATTTGAATGTGTCAAAAATTTTCTCAGATATTGCTGGCATGTCAGCAATTGCCTGATACATTCTATGTGAAAGGCAAAAGTGCAAGTTGCTATGAAATATGGAGTACTTGCTCTTTTGAACAGGCAGATTATGGGGGTTTTGAGACCATTTGATTTTTATGAAGCAGCTACATGAAAACCTAGTTTAACAACAATAGATTTTTAGAGACAATAAAGTAAGTAACTGTCAGAAAAGTCATGAAACTGATAGCTACATAGAGGTTATCAGTCATGTAAGCTTTGCAGGTTAGTATAAAATTTGAGCTCAAACGTTTAATAGCCATCCAAGTAACCCTTTTTGATAATAATTTTGTTTGCTTCTTTGCAGATCTCTTCCAATGAAAAAATTACTTCTAAGACTCATCTGAGGGAAAAAAATGTTACTAGAAGGCTCAGATTCATCTTTCTGGTTGTCAGTTCATTAGGTCTTTTGGCTGGCTCATAATGCCTCCAAGTAACTATTCCACAGCAGCTTGTAAAATACAAGGTCATAGTAAAATGAGCAGAAAGCTCATTCAAACCAAAGACAGGTCCTCAAACTTAGGATAACCCCAGGTTCCATGGAAAATTCCTGAAGGAATATTTGAAAATAAACTCATGACCCTTCAGAATGATTCATTCAACTGGATCTTTACCATCTGATGGGAAAAGTAAAATCTGCTCTTGATGACAACATAACACAAACATCTTACTATTGAACTTAGATGTGGAGACTTATCAACAGGAAAAAATTAAGTGATGAAAGTAGCCAGAAAGACTTTAAACATTTTCATATTTAAAACAAGGTATTTTTCTTCTTTTTTTCAAATCAGCTTTTTCCTATTTAGTCTGCTGTCAGTCTGCCTCATCATGAACATAACTTTTGAATATTTCAGACAAAAGTCAAATCAAAACTAAATCAAATATTATCTAGCTTTGGAAGGTGACTGGGGAGATTTCTAGTTGAATAATCCAAAACAACTATATATAAGAAAAACCAAAAGCTCCAGCAAAATCTATCACTACAGTGAAAACTCTACAAAGAAGTAGCAACATGTGGAAGTCAGAACTTTCTCAGCCCATTGATGTTATGTCTAGTAATACATCTCACTTCATCTACAGTTGTGATACTTTGCATGATACATAATTTTAGCTCTAATAGAGAAAAAAAAAGTGGGGAAAGAAATTCAGATTCTCTTCTAACCTGAAACACAATGGAAACTCTCTAACATCTCATAAAGTACTAGTATGTAAAGGCATACTATGCACTTATTTGATAAAATTAATAAAACAGTTAATGCCTTATAGTTACTATTTCACTTCCAAGTTATTCATTCATTCATTTAATTAAATTTGAAACATAACATCAATGTACATTATAAAAAGCATTAAAAAAAAGCATTAGAACTCAGACCTCCATGTTAAATATTCAGAGAATTGATACTCGTTGCGGTATGCATGACCCTGAATTTAAGTAGTCCTGTGCACCTCACAGTAATCCAAACAGATTTTGGATTCTACAAAGTTTGCTGTGCAGAATCACAGCAATATTCTCTTCAGCGGCAGATTTTCATCTTGAGTAGATATTTCTTAACAAAAACTCCAATTTTTCATTCTTAGGATGTTATTCTTTGAAATTATATACATTAATTTTAATATATTTTAATGATAATTAATTTTGTAAATACTTTGTATAGCAGAAATATGCCACGAGAAAATAAATATTCTTGTCAAGAGTAGTATCTTATTGAGATGGTTCTAGCGTCTATTTCCTGTAGGGTTCACTGAAATATCCGGAAACCAGAAAAGGAAGGGTACCATTAACAAATTTTTATTTACTTTTTACTTCACTTACTATGCTCGAAAGAGCATAAGTATTGACAAATAAGACTCAAATACACATCCTTCTGTGTAGGAAAACTGCAAAACTGAAAATACTCTTTCAGTTGATCTCTAAACCTATGACAAACAACTACTTTACCTTCCCAAAACATGAAGGAATTTGTATTTACTATACATTATTAAAGTTCATAAAATATTTTGTACAAGCACTACATCTTTTTAACACATCTACTACTGCACTGCAAAACTATCCTTCTCCCTTTTTAGTCTATGTATACATAAGCTAACTTTCCAGTCTTGTTTTGTCTTTTAATTGTATCCTTTCCAAGAATCATAGCTACCATGATCACAGCAGAGTTTTGTACTGCTGGTACTCTCAGATAGAAAGCAGCCTTTTAGTCTTGAATAAGATGTTTCCAATGGGAACTGAAACAAAGAGATGTTGTGACATCATTCTCAGAGCTACTCAGTCCAAACAGCATAGCACTAGCCACAAATCCTTAATAGTTGTTCCAGTTGCACTAAACAAAGCTATAATTTAGCTGCCTTAGTTCTTGTTTAAACTTGAAAAAAATAGCTAAAAATATGGTACAGAAAAATCACACAATTGTTCTCAATTTCCAATCTCAATGCAGAAGGCACTTAATACTTTGTAAAATTCCTTTTACACACAAGGAAGTGCAATATATTTCACTAAGAAATGTCTTTACTACTTTTTATTTTCTATATTCACACTTACATAGCATCACACTAAGGATAATAACCTGTAGAAATAATAGCTATAATAACAGCTCCCTTCCAATTCTGCTTTATTCAGCATATACTGTCACTCATGAAACTATTGAAACTTTGCATTTTTTCATTCACTTACCTTCAGGATTGAGCTCTACCATATAACCAGCAATGGGACAAAAGAAAAAAAAAGAATACATGAGATATTACTCAAATAAGAAAAAAAAGAAAATGCAGTAACTGGTTTTTAAGAACTTAAGACACATTTGTTAAGTAGACAATACATAAAGACATGATACTAGCCAAAAACCAGACATGAGACCACATTCATCAATAGTGCAACCCCATCCAACTGATTGACTCATTAAACTTCAGCTGGATGAATCCCAGAGATAGACTGAAGACTGATTTGGTCACAAATACAGATATCTTAAAAAAACAAAAGAGCAAAAAGGCTCTGTTCAGATAAAATGAAGTCACAAAGGCAGTTAATTTTTATTTACTAGTATATTACACTTAAGGATTTGTCTGCCAAGCAACACTAGTATTTGTATGTAATTGAGGGTAAGATCAAGTTCTTTAAAAACACAAGTTCCAGTTTTGTCTAGAAATAAATATTTCAGTCATAGCACAGCCTAGACTATCACCATAAACACAATGTTTCAAGTGTGAAGTGATGTGAAGTAAATGCTTACACAAAAGTGTCAATATTGGATAAGGTACTCAAGACCATCACCCTTCACAGAAGCCCTACATTAACTTATAAGTCTTTCATGTCAGTCTACTCCATTTTTGCTGGCATAGCTCTGTCTTTGCACAGTGAACTAAATCAGCAAATCTGGCTGAGAAACAACTGTTGATTGCATAAGAACAACAGGGGAGGAGGTGCGGGAGCAAAGCCAAGCATTGAGAAGTGAAGAACTGACAGCTTTAACAGGTTTATGCAGCATTTAACTTAACATGGAAGCCCTGCCTAAAGATAGTTTCTCAGTAGCCTGACATATTCACAAAGCTGTGTGTAGAAAACTAAGCTAATCAGTTATGGATATCAGGAAAAAGTTACATATTCTATCACTAGGGTCATTAGGGCATTACAAAATAACGACTTGGTTTCTATCCTTTGGGTTAGTTTATTTGTTTAGAATGAATATGTTCATCTGTTAAAAAGGAAGTGATGAATAATCACTCCTAATGCTTATTCAAATCTCCTCCTCTGTGGGGAGGTAGTTTTCGTCACATTTGTCGGCACACCAGAAGGCTGAATAGTCATAAAGGTGTAACCAGCTTCTCACTCCAAGAGGTGGTCCCTTAAACCACAGAACAGAAGCAAATCGATAGGACAAGATGGGAAAGCTGGCACAGCTGTTTCACAAGCAATAAGCTTTAGATTTTACCTCTGTAAGGCCAATTACATAACTTGATGCAACATAAAATATTAACTAAAACTGAAGACTAGATAAGCATTATTTCTTTAATTACTACTGTCTTCAATATATTTCAAAAGAACATTTATAAGAAATATGTGAGGAAAAAGGCCTCAAGAAAATGTAAATCAATTTGAAATCTCCAGTGGCTTACCTGTTGGTATATTATATGAAACCATGCAATTTCCTTCTAGTTCTGATGGAGTACAATTCCCCTTCAAAAAGACAGACAGGACCACAGTTTCAGATGAATCTGGTTCTAAAAACAACACAAAATTAAATCAAGTAATAGGAGCATCCAAATGAACGCAACATATTTCCTAGCACTTTGGGAATTATTCTGCTAAACTATGGTAGTTGTTTCCATTAGTTCACCTTTATCAAATCACGGCACGTGCTTTTTTAAAAAAATCTTTAATTTGTAAAAGGCAAACTAGGGCCTCCAGCTATCTTGAAGCATAACCAATAAAACAATTCAGTACACTGAATATGGAGAATATAAAAATAAATGCAGTTTTATGTTATGATTTTAATATTTTACAAAGCCATCATTCATCACTCCTGTCACATGTTGAGAAAACATAAGAACTGTCCTTTCAGATGAGAATAGCAGTGAGTAAAGCCCTGTTTCAATAGGGACCATTACTGCACATTTCAGAGCAGAAATGGTCTGTAGTCACAACTGAAACAGCAGGCACACTTGCCTGATCTTAAGCTCCACATAGTCTCCAAGGCAATTCCACCTGCAGTCTCATCAACAAAGTTAGAAAAAGGCTACAATCCTTAAACAGTTGATGCTAAGTTGAGAACATATGCTAGACTGTCTCCATCAGCACGCAAACTTTCTGTCCCTGCCTGTAGCTCAATACTGCCACTTCTACATAGACAGAATTGTCAGTAATAAAAAAATAACCCAGCAGAAGTACTACAGAATAATTGATTTTTTTTTGCCTCCATCATAAAGCTGCCACGCCACCTCTCCTCACCCGCCACCTATCACACCACAATCGACGAAGCAACTCCATTCCTTTCTACTCTATCTTCCTCCACTAAGCAGTATCTAGAAGACGTGGAGTGCAACAATGCACTTGATGGAAGTTGGACTACACCTTTCCAATATCCTCAGATACTGTAATAGTACTATAATAATTTACCTAAATCATCAAAGACGAACTGGTCACGGGTCACTGCTAACGGAGCTTGCACACATACTGCCAGGCTCGGCTTCTGCACAGCCACTCTGCTCTGTACTGTTATCTAAATCAAGTGACACAAAGAAGTATTTAAGGGAAGAAACAAATTTATCTCTGTACAGCAGGAAAAAAGACATAACCAACAAAAAGATATAAAAAATTTGCAAAGACCAATTCAGCAACAATGTTTCAGAACTTAAAATTTCAACTTCAAACCCAGTATTTTCCTTTCACAGTTTTTATTTACTTATGGCCAAAAAAAAATGCAGTAACTTGTAAGGTTAAAAAAAACTGAGAGAATTTCTCATTTTTTTGTAATTTTAACCCAAGACAAACCAATACGTGAGTGGTAATTAAAATGTCAATATTTTACAAGTGCTCATGTGCATTCGTTCTAATGTAAACAAAAATAAAATGTTGACTCTTTTAGGTGACTAAAGTAAAAAAAAACAAAATTAATAAAATCTAAGCTAACCAAATGAATTCCTTTCTTTAACTGCAAAGAGCAATGCATAGTCTTCTGAATAACTTCAGATTCTTATTTGGTTTTTTTACTGCAAACAAAATGAGACAATCAAAATACAGGATACTCAGAACAATAAAAACTCCAGATTATGAGAGCTGACCTAAACATAAATTTGGAGTGGCTCTCGCTGCTTCTATTGTATGCAGTTACCCTCCTACAAATACGGATATCAAAAGAATGTACTTAACTCATATCTAAAATGGAAGTGCAGTGGTGACTGAGATCTGAATATGGTCTGCATAGACATGGACCATATATCTAATATCATCTGTTTTGTATTGCTGGTCTACCAAGGAGCTCATTACATCCAGGTTAAATCAGTTTAGAAAAATATTATTAGTTATAAAATTACTAAAGTGTTAGGAACTTTGCCTACTTAACCATAATTAACATCATCATTGATTTAGGTTTCACAGTACATTTGAGTTGCAAACAGGCTCCCAAATTATCCATCTCAATAATGCTAGCAAGGAAGAATAACATCTACCTCTGTACATACATCAGATAAACTTTACCCATTTTATGAACCCAGAATCTCAATAATATGAACAATGTCGATGGAATCAATGAAGATGTTATGCCAATTAAGTGAGTTAAAAACATGCAGACATGAGACTGCACTCTTCAGAATTAGTAATCGGGACGGTGATATTTAAAGTTTCTGGCAAATACTACTGTGGTGCATTTCTCAAAGCAATGGAGACATGATCAGTTAAAGGAACTTATGGAAGGAAAAAATGATTCTAGAAAAAACTGAATGCATGGTAACTCCTTCATTTACTATTGTTGTTTCACTAAAAGGTATGAGATACATAAACAAGAAAAGAGAAAGCGGAATTAATTATAATGTCTTCCCATTAAAAAGCTTATTAAATATATAAACACATCCATGCTCATTTTAAACAGGGTTTACCTTGGCTCTTACAATAGCGATAACGAGTGGATAAAGGAAGGCAATGGGAATTACCTGTGTTCCCAGTATTGAATTCATAACCGCTCCCCAAGAATTTAATTTGGCAATTATAAACACAATGATTTCCACTGTAATAACTCACTCACACAATATATTGGCACCAATGTAAACTAAAAGCTGATAAATTCACACCTGTCTTGAGGTAATTTAAATTTATATTACATATTTTAAGATAGCCTTATATTCTCAAACAGCCTGGTCCAAAGTCCAATGTCATTCATCTGAATTTCTTTGAGCAAAACTATCAAGACTTTATCGGAATTACGACTTTATCCTGTATTATTTTAGCATTTAAAAATGCAGAGAAATTTGTTGGACCAAGTACAACTAAACCACACTAGTCTGAGGGAATCTGATTCAAACAGTCCAGTTACCCTCTGAAATTTTCGCTCAAGACCAAGAGGAGAACTTGAAAGGTTCTGAAAAATGAGGCTTCCTTGATATTCTTAGAAGATCCTCTTAAACTCTGAAATAAAAATCATGATCCTTTTTAGGCAATACTGAGGAAAAACTACATTTGCATACACACACACTCTCACACTTTCTTTAGAATCACTCTCTCACGGAGGAGTGCAATAACATCACTCTTCTAATTAGATTTTCCTACTATTTTTTTTTCAAGAGCCAAAGCTATGGAAGTCTTTTTACGAAAGAAAGTCTGTTTTTGTTTATTGATGACTAAAAAGGCAGCTGAAGAGGATAAACCTCTCATTTGAGTAACGAAACATTTATTGCCTTCGAAAGGTGTTGGCAAAATTATTCTCATGACTTCAAAAACTACTTCATTGCACGTTAATAACATTCTTGTCTCCACTTACCTATCAAAAATAAAACTACAATCACTTTTTGACTTTAGCAGAAGGCTTCCTATAATGACACCTTGTCATACTAAGGAGGAAAAACACTGAGCATTTATTGCATTTCAAATTTTACTCATTTTCCTGTTCTTAGTGAAATATACAGAGACTTTTTTTTACAATTTGCCACTACTACTTGAATGCTACTGTTTGAGTTAGGCACAGTACCTTTACTGTGACTGATGGTACTGCCTCTGCTTTTACCTCACTCTCAATGGCTTGCTGTGAAGAAAAAGACGAAAACAGAGTAAATTCAATGTTCCACATGAATGAGTGAACACAATGAATGCAATGTTACTTTTCTACCATCAACTTGGTAAACACAAAATTAAGATTAAAGGATTTATCATTCCTATGACAGATTAACATACACAAAATACATTTCTGAGTTCCTTCTGAAAATGTAAAGTCTTTGTTTGAAATTGCCTGCAAAAAGGATAGCAAAAGGTCATGAATGTGGTGTACATAAGAAACTAATACACTCTGATGTATATATGAATATTTGAAACTGTTTTGTTTGGCACACTACTTTCCACTGTATATTTATTCAAATTCTGGAAATACCTTCTGCTATTCAGTAGGGAAAGGTGACTTCCAATCTGCCAATATATTACATACACACCATAGTACATCCTATAAAATCATCACACATTATCTTATACTTGAAATATATCTCAAACTTTAAAAGAAAATTATAACAGGCACTTTAATACTCCTGCTAATTTCTATTTCAATAGGCAATTCCATCTACTTCAAAATTCATCTTGACCTTGCAGTATATTTTAATTTTATTTAATGCTTATATTTCATTTTGAAACAGGTCGGTCACTACAGTTAATGAAAATGTTCCTGTGTAAACTATTATAAAGAAACATATCTCTCACTTCTGCTATAATACCAAATTACTGATTTGCCTTGTAACATCTCATTATAAAAGAGTAAATTAAAAACAGTATAAGGTTCACATCTGCAAAGTTCCTAAAAAGTCAGGAAACTGGTAGGCTCTCTGGATTCTAGAAGTAGGACTTTCATTTGTACATCATGTACCTTTTCCAGATAAAAAAAGACAGCTACATTCATATTGGCTTGCCATGCTCACTATCTCTGGTGACCAGAGGTGTAAAGAGATGGACTCTTAGTATATTCAAGCCTCAGAAACTATCTGGACTTCCTGTATTAGAGGCCATACACAGGAGGTGGTGTTAAATAGCCAGAATGGTCCTCCACTTGCTTATCTAATCAGTTTTAATATATCTATATCCTCTTTGCCCTTTCCACACACACTGCAATTTCAATCTTTATACAAGTGCAGAAGTAGCATCTGAAAGCCTGTGATTTCCAAGGTCACTGTAGAAGCCCTAAAATTGTTCCTACATTTGTTTATTGGTCCTTCCCCATGAAGTATCTTATCAGATTTTTCCTTTCTAGATGCCGACTGAAAAAACATGCAGAAAAGCCAACCACACAGCAAACTAAGATATATGGGCAGCCTTAGGAAATACAGATTCAAGGCTGTGGTTTATATTATGAGTTACTTATGTATGACACAGACCAATTGCATCTGGAAGGTTGAGCAAATGAGCACAGCAGCCTTAGAACATTTTATGTACCTAACAGTTCTAAGTGTTGTAAGTAGATTATTGCAGCTAGCCAAGGAGACTAGCACACATTATAAAGAAGTCCCTTTATCAAAGAATAATATCCTTGTGTATTTTTTAAACAGTAAGCAGCCCAGGAAAATCAGTTTTGCACAAATTAGTGGCCAGAAATGGCTCATTACAGATGTTCTAGTGCAACAAATATGTTCTGAAATGTTGAAGTTTGAAGTTTTAAGAGACAGTATAAGCTCTCCCGAATCTTAATATGAATAATTTTTTGTAAGCTACTTATGTATACAATATGAATAAATTAATTAGGCTGCAACACCAGAGAATATTGAATAATGGCTTGCCAGAGAAAGATTATTTCTTACAATGCAACTGAGTGGTTTGAGTATCTTATCTTTCAAAGATCCAAGGATGACACTTCTACTGTTAAACTTCTCACCCTAAAGTTATTCCATATCCTAAGTTCTCATTCACTTACATTTGCTTAGCCAAGAATCTAATGGTCCCAAAACAGAAGATAATAAATAATTTTAATAAATTCTAGTTAAAATCTCTAATAAATGTGTCTTCTAATTGAGGAAAAACTGAGGGCTATGCAGCTCAGTCCCAGAAATAAAAATACATAGTAATCATTATCCATGATCAATCATCATTTATTCACATGTGAAACCTATATTTTTAGAGTAATTCCCTTTTCAGACAGGTACATACAGATTCTGCATCCAAATCAGGTGAAACTTCTGCTGTGACAGTTAAATCTCTCTGTTTTTCAGATTCAGGCAAAATATCTGAAAGAAAAAGAAAAAGCAAAGCAGTTCTTCTTTAACAAACATGCAGCTACATTTCTAAAAATAATACCATTTCAACAGAATCAAGTTTCAAAATCACAAATTTGAATACAAATTTGAAAAGAAAAAATAGCAATGCATATGATTTTTGATATTTCCAAAGAAGCTTCCCAATTTTATTAGATTTCTAAAAACCTAAACCTGGCTGTCATTTTGGATTTCTAATTTATGTACAAAAAAGGACTTAGATGCATTCTGTAACAAGGTTTTACATCTAATATCCATTATCTTCAGAGGCCATAAGATATTTTTAAACTTTAGTCCTCACATGCATATGCTAATACACCAATAAAAAAGAACTACCTCCAAAACAACTCACCATACATCTCATGGCACTTTCCTCTAAATAATTTGATAATGAATATGCTAGACAAAGAAAAATTCTTTGTCTAATGGTCTAATCTTATGCAATTCCTCTGCATAAGAAGGATATGAAAGTTTTATGTATAGAACATTATATGGGGTTTGGTTACAATATGTTACCAGGTGATTTCCAGTACTGTCAACATACAAATCAAAGAATGGTATGAACTTATTTATATCCATGATATAAAACCTTACGCAGATTCATATATGTAAAAAAAAGTTGTACAAATTAAAAGTTTAAATACCATGAGGAATTATATAACCTCCTCTTACTTAAGAGTCCAGAAGTCCAGCTCTAGGGTATTTGCATTTTTCTGAACTTTTATTTTTTAAGACTAAATGCATGGAAAATGAAAAATCCAAACAGCAAATGTATAGTTTCTAAAGTAAGAACCAGTAAAAACTCGATGTAAAGGGGAAATTAACATACTAATTGAATAATTGAGAGCATGAGCACATTCAGAAAGCTGAAAGAATTTTGTTACACAGAAGGTCCTGAAAATGACCCAGAACTAGTAGACAGCATGTATCTCGTTCCAACATGAGGGTCTAAGGAAAAGATTTTGATCAAGACAGAAAAAAAGTTTTCATTTCCTTGTGCTCAGAGAAAAATGCCTCTCTTTGCCACAAGGAAGAAAAGCAAAGGTAAAACACGTTTCTCTAATACCACCTACAAAAGAAGTTTAGGCCTGTTTCATACAGCCACAATTGCAAAGAACTGGTTCTCCCAACTACACATAGATCAGTCCAATCCATTTATTTCTATCCCTTCTAAATTATTTCTCTTCAGGTTGCTTCTTCAAGCAAACTATGATGCAACTTCTGTCATACAGATATTTTTCTATTAGACTGAGATCACAAACAAAGTTTACATATAAGTATCAGCTTTTTGTTACTATTAAATTGAGCCAAAACACGTATGTTTAATCACTTATGTCATCTGGACTGATGCAAGTAATATTAGATTTAAGTTAGTAAAACAGTTAAGATTTTAAAATATTTCATCAGTTTATAATGTAAACCCTTATACTTCAAAATGTATAAAACAGCTTAAGTTCAACAGTTTAATGGTCAGTACTGGACAGAAATACAAGACATTTATGGTAATAAGTACTCTAAGGGTTTTTTTAATATGATGACCTAATTCTAAATACCTTCCATGTTTGAAAGTCAAAATGAAACAAAGAAAAATTATTTCCATATAAGGTTAGATATTTTCAAAACAACACAAGCTCTTACTGCACAAGCATGAATTCAAAAGACAAAAAAGTTAACAGCTCATTTTAAAGATCATGTTCAGGAGTAACTTAATGGCAATCAAGGTTCAAGCTAAAGGTTTTCAGAAAAAAGTCAAAATGTGAAAAGCCCAAAACATCCAAAACTGACTGGCATTCATCATAAGTAAAATGTTTTGTTGTAAAAAAAGTTCTCTCGCAAGTTTTACATCCAGTTCAAGTCAAACACATCATTAGAGCATCTCTCCACAATGGAAAGAGCATTTATAAAAACTCATCTGAAAACAGCACTTAGATCAGATTAGACATACTGAGGAAGAAAATTAAGAGGAAGAGAGAATGGTGAAAAGATCAACAATATTGAAAGTAAACTTGTCAATCATACTGTGACAGTTATTACAATATTTAAAAAGGATAGTTACAGTTCCTTTCTCTCTCTCAATCTTCCACATAATACGTTAAAACTAAGAAGTGACAGTTGATTCACTTCAAATGGATTTGTTCCTTCCTTCATGCTTTCCTTTCCTTTGGTTATGATAGTCAGAAAAAATTGTCTAATACTTATAAAGAAGAGCTGTGGTAAAAATCAGTGGAATTTATCCACATCTACATGCTTATATAAAACATTTCTGGATTTGGAAAATTAAAAACCTGATATTAGTCTATCACAATAATGGATGAAGTTATATGTAATTACAAAATATAGAAATCTTTGAGTTGTAGAATCAAACTTGTGACTGCAGATAAATAATTTCTTATTTTCTAGGAATTTCAACTGTGAGCTTTTTCACACTTTTTCACATAGAAAGCAATGACTACTTCTTTTATGCATTTTAAGAACATGTTCACTATAATCAGGAAAATTTGTTCTTTCTATTTGTCTAAGATTTTTCCATCGTTTCCTGTAAAATCACATGCTTCCAATTCACTGTGCAAGTCATATACACAGTTTAAAAACCCATGTTTCATGTTTATGAAAACACAAGCTTTGAAGCTTACTTCAATAAAATCAATGCAAGTTATTAGTGACGTATGTCAATTCTAAAATTTATTTGGGTATTGATATCTCTCACTATGTTCTTCAAATATGCTTTTGAAAGAAATTATAGAAACAGAAAAGTTGCTTTAACAAAAGTAATTCTTTATTAATTTCATTACTTAAAAATCCATTTGTAATAATAAAACAGAATTTGGCAATACTTTTGCTCTCTCTGAAGCCTAATTATATCAGGCTGTTGAAATTCTTCAAGTTTTCTTGCCTTTGGGTAGTCAGTTTTTTCTCTGAACCCTTGCACTACTGAGAATTATCTGCAACCTGAAGTAAACTTCTCAAAAGTTCCAACAGGCATTATGAAAATACAAAGAAACACCCTCCATTCAAGAGCCTTACAGTCTAGGATTTTGTGTGTATGCTTTTTTATTAAAAGCTCAACTTTACTAAATATTAAATTTCCTACAGAAATGTAATTATGGTTAAAGTCTGAAAATAAAATATTTTAAAGTGCTAAAAGGAAAGTTAGGTGGATAAAAGCACATAAAAAGACAGAAAAGGAAAAAGTATACCTTGTGTTTTTGTGGCCTCCCTGATGATTTTTTGAAGCTCTTTCATTTCAGCATTCATTTCTTCATAGTTTATTTCCCTAGCATCAACCTTAGGAGCCTGGAAGATCGAAGGATCAGTTCCAAGGTAAGAACACTGAAGATGCCCATCATCAGTCAGAGTGACTATAACACCCTTCAAGTCTCTGCACAAAAAAAAAAGGCTCACTAAGAAATTGGGAAGAATCGCAGAAGTAACATCAAAAATATGCTGCTTCTACTGTGCCATCTACAAATACAATAGAACTTCCTGTTTTTAACAATATCCCTTGACCAAAAGAAAGTAACAATATCTATTCTTCAATACAGATGTTTTCATTAACATTACTCCTACTTGCTGCAATCACACCTAAGAACAAATTTGTGTTAGACAGCTAAAACACCTCAGAATCTATGTAATCAGGAAAGGTAGTAGAAAGAATCAGAACAAACAAGCTGAATAGATAGTTGTCACCTATTTTACTCACAAATTGCTACTTAAGCTTTTTGAAGAACAGATATTAAGGTGGGTATATGGGAAAAGGAATTTCCTGAATGGAACACCCAGTAAAGGAAGGGAAGGGAAAGGATGTGTTACAAGAAATCAGGAACGGATGGAAGATGCTCACAGTGAATACAGCAGTAGGGCTTTAATGGTATCAATAGCTCCCTTAAACAATTCTGTGGCTGCTACTGCAGCTACTGTGCTGGCTTCAAATGCTGGCTGGCTGTTCTCTGCAGTATCTTTCAGAAAGGAAACCACATGGATCCAGAACATTCCCCTTACACTCCTCTGAATCAATACAAATGAGGGTTTTATTAGCTACACTATAGTCTCTTTTCTCTCAAGGGAACAGTACTTCATTGCTCCTAGAAAAATCTCACTCATGTTGTTTATCTGATCTGTATAGTGCAAATGCAAGATTTAGGAAAGTATTTAACAACCTATGAGACAATAGGGAGTACTGCCAACGTTTTCCTTACATTGACAGTTATTCCTAAATGGAAAACGAACTGACAGGAAAGAAAATCTAGTTCAGATGTTAACAGCAAAAGTTAGGAGAAAGCTAACTTTCAATTTATTTTTATAAATGCTTATTTGTAATTAAATTAAAAGCCTGTATTTATTTTCATAATCACAAAAGAACACATTCATTCCAGTAATTTACTCTTATTCCATACTTAGAACATCTTACGGCAGAAACTGCCTTTGTTTTATATGGCAGTTGTATTTGAGCCAAAGATAGATCAAATTTAATTCTTAGATATAAAAAGTGATTTGGATAAGAAAGCCTAATTCACTATCCCACTAATTAAACTCCTGCAAAAATACTGCATTTATGTAAGCATTCAAGCTATAATATAATAATGGCCAGTCTTCGCGAACGAAGATTTTGGGAAAGGTCTTTTACCTTTCCAGCCTGCGCAATGGATTTTTTAGGTGAGATACAGCATGCACTGAACTGAGCCCACCCTTTAATCCTAAGGTTCATCTGCCGGGGCCAAGCAAGCTTGGACAATGGCAGTGAGGTCCTCAGGACGTAGGTTTGTTTAGAGTGACTTTCTCATAGATGGATGGCCTCACAGGGCTAACGAGCTTCATCTGCCCGGGGGACCAGGAATTGAACCTGGGTCACAGCAGTGAGAGTGCCGCATCCTAACCACTAGGCCACCAGGGGTCCCTTGCATTCAAGCTATAATTCATACAGAATAAACAAAAATTCTTTTAACTGACACTTGCAAGATACCTTTCAAATGCCTCCTCTAGATCAAATATATGTAGAACAAAAGCCAGGTAGCTATATAAAAGAAACAGAATCCTCTGGTTTCCTACTCTGTCTTGTAGCATGGCTACAGAGCACCCAGATAGGAAACCTCATTCCAAAATTTGCATGTTAATAGTTATTACAAAAGCAAACAGATGACACAGATTCATTTTGACAACTGGTGGTCCAATTGGACTGTCCAAAATGCCTATTTATAGTATGTTAAGGCCACAATCCCAGTGGTGGTTTCACAACTGCAACCAAATAACCTGGAAAAAATATGCTGCAACTGAGATCATCTGAATTCGTACAATTACATTATAACTGCATACAGGAATGAAGGCCCCACTGGGCACTATACAAATAAGTAGTTGGTGTAGATAAACTTGAGCTTTCTCTTTCTACAGAAAGTAATTTTTACTTAGTGAAAGAAAAAAATAAATCTCCTTGTTGAATTATGAATGGATGGAAACTGCTCATGAGCTTTTTTTGGACAACAGGTAATCCCAGTTAGCTCTTTCCTAAAGGTGAAACATGCAAATCTGAACTGCCTTCTCGAACAGAAGGCACCTAAAAGGGCTCAAACACACTGTTTCCCTTATCTACTATATAAGCTCATCTTAAACAGAAAAAATCTTCTCTTTTGGGACTACTTATGGCCACAGAAAAGCTTCCAGCTACCACTGCAACTTTTAATGTCTATTAGCATTCCCTGCAAAACTGTAATAGGAAGCTGGTTTTGTGAGCACATAAGGCTGAGATGCCAAGACTCCGCTAACAAATACTTTAAGAAAAGAAAGTAGAAGACTTAACACTGATTTTCAACTTCCTTATCCAGTACTTGAGTTAGCAGCCATTCTGCAAACGCCATGGCCTATTTGCAACCTGTAAGCTTGGGGCTTACATCCCAAAGGGGCTTTCTGACAAATTGTAAACTCTCAAGAGGAACTGGAACTAAATGTGAGTCCTGGTTTTCTCTGGCTACTTGAATATTTGTTGTCGACTATAGCTGGCTTCCTTGCTCAGGACTGGGCCTGTTGTTGAAATTACACTCATCCTAGTTTTCTTATGTCCAAAAAGCTCTGTACAACACACATCTGTGCGACATTTACAGAATTCTGGATGGCACATGAAACAAATACATTGGGCTAGCCCTGAGTTCTGTATATGAACAATGCTAGGGGACAGACTATTGTGAATACTTGAACCACAACACAGTCTTAGTAAGGTATGTAAATTATACCTAATGTATAGGACTTTGTTAATGCCTGCCAAATGTTTGCAAGGAGATTTGCCAGATTGGTCATGGTTGCAGCAAAGTCTTTAAAAATTGGGTATTGTTGAGGTAGATGCTACCATGCTACCAAAGACATTGCCCCACACTTTGCTATTAAGTCACAGCAAATAATAACTTTTTCTTTTTTTTTTTTTTTGGAAAAAAAAAAGGGGGACAACAAGAGAAATTGCATCATGAGGTTGTTCCACAGCTGAAGAAAGAAAACTGACATCTGAAAACCAGACAATTTCTAAAATTCTTCAGTAATGGCTTTGGACCATCTTAAAATTTCTTTCTTGAGGTTTTGCATCTGTTAATCTAATAAGGAAAGATCCATGAGGACATCTGAGTGTAAATCAAAAGGGCATGAAGAAATATAGCTACACTGTTAGCAATAAATCTTTGATGATATACTACTAAGGTATAATACATTCAAAAGTGGTTTGTAAATACAGGCCTTTTAAGCTGGCAGTCATCTGCAGCTACTCAGTCTATCATATGAGATCAACTTAAATCAATGAGGTGATTTACCGATATAAAATATGCTTTCCTTAACTTCTGAGTTTATGTCAGCATTACAGAATGCACATTCAGAAAATCCACCTTAAAATAAACTCATTTCAACCAACTTTCCCATTAGTCATGACATCCTTGAGGTCTGCACTATCTCAGAGACAAAAGCACTGGTTTAAGAAAACAGTGTTACAAATCACACTTTTCCTTTGCTTCAGTTACTCTTCTGCAGGGTCTCAAGAAGATTGTTCAATATGAAACATACAGAAATATAAAAAAGCCTTTTTCGGTAATCTTTCCTTGTTAAAAGCTGTCTATGAATTTGCACATCAATAGAAACAATAAGAAACAACAATAAACCAGTTATAACATATTTTTTTATAATATATTAATTTCTCTGGTGGAATGTTTGTCAGCCATTCAAGATTGCTTTATTTTCTCAGTCTTTTCTAACAGTCGTTAAAGGCACCAGGAGGAGGGGAAGCATTTTTAGCAGTTTTATAGTAGTTTCCCCACAGCTACTGCACTCCCACAATATCCCTGCAAATACCATTACTTCATTTTGCACACAATCTGGAATTTCAATTACTTGTTAAATTTCTTTTATTGTAAACTATTTCTTTTACTATGTATCACACAATAGTCAAAGTAATAGCAAATCTAAGGGGACACTTTAATAGTGAGGAACTCAAAAGTATAAAACAAATTATTCTGATATCTAAAATAAATGTACAGTATAAAGCAACTCCTGCACACATATGGTAATAATTTGTAAAACTATTTTTTATTGGATTCTGGATAATAATAATTGCATATGTTTTTTGTAGGTCTTCTCTTACTAAACAAATTGCTCACAATATAATTTTTTAAGAAATTAAAATGCTTCGCATGTTTCCAGTTATATAATGCCAAACTGATGGCTCACACAATTGACTTAGAATCTGTAATTCTGAATTCTACTTGAATGACACAAGCTAAGCCTTGGTCAACTCTTAGGACAAGGACTATTTACAGTTTCAATTATTTATATTTATAATAGCTTATAAAACTTCTACTTCAATTTCAGAAGTAGTCTTAATTTATATTACTCATATGAACCATTTTAGAAAACAAGATTCTCTGCAATACTATTTTCTGTTCCTTATTGATAATATATTATTTAAAAACTACTAAATTAGGAAACTAATTCCATCATCATGCCCAAGCATTTTGAATCCATTTTTCTCCTCATTTTATCACCATTTGATGCAATTATATGCAAGTGAACATCTCAATAGCACTTTTTAGTTTAGTGCTTTTGAAAACCGAAGTTGTTCCAAGTTCCATTTCAATGTCATTTTAAGCTGTAACTGTGTGAAACATTTGATAAAACACTGAAGGAAGATCAGACTAGGAGTAATAAACTGTAAGAATTTTCTAACATGAACTAATGGAGTAAAAGGCCCATCTTACTCTTATTAAACACACACTCCAAAATTTAAAGTACACCCGCAGCTAAATATTCAAAGTACACCCAGTGTGACCCAATGCCAGCTACTATTGATTTGTAATTGGTTCTCTGTACCTGTGGAGCACCCTCAGGCTCCCTTGAAATGCCTTCCTGTGTAAAAAA